AAATCCTTTTGCCACTTACTGAGAGAAACACTTGAAATGGGCTTGTGTGGACGAATATAGGACAGTAAAAGTTTGTTGGGCTGTGATGGGCCCAAAGTAGGAAATCCTAAAGTGCAAAGTTAATACTCCTTATTACACTTGACAACACACAGGTTAGAATTTTCCTGGAACCTGGCATGAAAAGAGGTCTTCACAAGCCCTAGGATTTCATGGTAATGATCGTTTCCGGTACTGTGTTGTTACTGTGCTCTCAAAATAAGGGAACCGAAAAATCGTTTCGCAGTGACATATTCAGCTAATAGGATAAAAAAAACACAAACTTACTATTTTTCTACTTGGATTCTTAACTGGTAGAGCAATTCATTAGTTATGATTTGCTTACATTTGAAACTAAAACTTTAAGCATCTGTACCTTGTTCTTTTAGCCACTGATAAGGCGAAAGCAGTTCGAAAACTGACCCAACACGTACGCGAAACGACTTCAAAAGTCACTGAAGAAAGCAGTCAAAAATAGGGTACAATAGCATGGCGAAAATTGTAGTAGAGGGCAATTCATAGCACTGTGGAATACCACGTTTTAAAATCGTATATAATAGACTCTTTAGGACTTACAAACTATTTTATCACGCATTACACGAAAAAACCTAAAATTTTTAGTGATATGAGCTCTTCTTTTAGTTTCTGAATGGCGATTTTGCAGTATTTCGTATCCGTGGTGTAGTTAACGTGCAAATCTGTCACCGAACCACCGTGGTGCAGCAATGGCTAAAATCATTCTCCCATTACCAATCTGGATTTATCCCTTAAAATTGCCTCTTAATCCCATTGTTTTTATCAGAAAGTGGTTTTGTGACGGGTTTATGGATGATTGAGACCATTGGCCGTAGACCTTACTTGATCCATCTTACTTGGAGTTGTCTCAAAAGTTAATGACCTAAGGCAGGCTTGACCTTCGTCCATGTAATCTACTTTTTATTGCATCAAGGCTTAATGCCAAGTCTGATAGTTTAGTTTCATGGCAGTGAGAACCTGGTGCCACAGCTGTTGATGCTTTCAGTATTACGTGGGCTAATGTTAATTGTTAGGCTTTCCTCAGTTTAAGTCAGCTGTCTCAACTTTCGGCCAAAGAAAAAGGTAACTAAAACTTGTCCTAAGCCGTCTTTGCCATCTCTGTACGGTTTTATTTGCAGTCACTCGTAAGAAAGGCACTGATGTTATAAAGACTCCTTCTACTCACTGCGCCGCCTTATTAACGTCTGTTGGCTCGGATCTCAATGACGGAATAAAAACAAAACAGCGGTATTATGGAGGTTTTTTTTAAATAAAATATATGAGAATTGTCGCGGGACATTGGAAACTGACCGTAATAGAGAGGAGTCCGTATTAGAGAGGTGTCCGTACCCAGAGGTTCAACTGTATTCTTTTCTAATATGTATTCTTTTTGACCGTCTTTCTGTATTAGGAATTTTTAATGTTTATTCTCAACCATGCAATCAACAGTCTCTCTGTTAAAGATAACAGAAAGCTAAAACCTGGTGGTGAATAGGTTACTTTCCAAAATGTTAATTTTCTTTATCATTAATTTCAAAATACTCGGTCGTGTTGAAAAAAGGAATTCTTTCCAGAGAACACCATTTTTAAAGGCATCATTTTCTGATACAATCAAACTGCAACATGTAGTTTGTCGCTAGTACTCTCTAGGTTGGATCCCGCTTTAGTCAAAGCGGCATACAATATTGCTTGTCATCAACTTAATGCAGACACTTTGATTTCCCATTATGCTGTGCTATTGATGTTGAAAAGAGTGTGGACGCGTTTACCACGGTTTGCAGCTGATGCCAAGGTCACGCATGCCCAAGTTATCTCCTCCGTAATAGCAATAAGTAAGCTGAAAAGTAAGGTTCTAAAAAATAATACAATGAATGATAAAAACTTAAGAATGATTTGATGAAAGATAAAAGAGGGTAAAAAATGTGACTCTACGTACCACCGGCGCCACGAAAAGCCTTTCCCATTAATTAAAAAGGAGTTTTAAAGGAAATTGATCTTTCACAGTTTAGCCTAAACAATTGCTACATTTGAATACCTGAATAAGATCAATTCTCGTCAAAATATGTTTTTTATGAAAATCGAGAAGATAACTTTGTAAGCAGCTCGAACGTTTGACTAGTTGTTGTGAAAGGAAGCACAGCGTTCAACAGACAATCGCTATTCTTTTCTACCACCGAGTGTCAACTTAGGGCCTTATTCTTTCCCGAAGTCGCCCTTCTTGATGTATGAAGTTTTCATTTAAATTTACTTCAAGCTTACAGAAAGGTAAACATCGGTGGTGATTAGGTGTCGAAATCGGTAGACTGATTTCTTTTCATAGTTTCTTATCATAGTATCATTGTTTCTTATCTGCCTGGAAACTGTAGACACTGCCACGTTACCGTTATATGGGGATAAAAAGTATACACACCAAAACAATGTTTAAGATTATTTTACTGGGTTATTAACAAATAAACTGAAATATGGAATGAAAATTTCTCAAGGAAGTCAGAAAAAAAGAAGGTCAAAGTTCACAAGAATTGTGATTACACAGGTAAAATTCTGAAAATTTCTAGTGTAAGATGTTCATTTCCTAGGGTTTGCATAAGAAATCTTTAGCCCTTGAAAAATGTGAGAAAGCCGGAATGCAATATGCTTTAAGTTATTCTGGTACAAAATTTTTGTCCACTGATGTCCTGGTGGATTCTGTCTTAATTTCCTTTTATGCTGTGCTGTTGATGTTGGAGAGAGTGTGTACCTTCAGTTTACGTTGCGGTTTTGAGTACAAGGTCTTGCATGTACAACATGATTCTTAAGTTATAACAACAAATAAACTTACCGTAGTTATTCGGTTATAAGGCGCACTCGGTTATAAGACGCACCCCAAACTTAGCAATTTAATCAAGCTAAGTTCTCAGACTGAAAATTACGTGAAAATACTCGGTTATAAGACGCACCAAAAAATGAGAGTTAACAGAAGGATGTGATGAATCTGAGACCAATTATCCTTACACAATTGGCATGTGAAGTCTTTTTGTTAACGTAAACAAAAGTGAAAAAGTCACACATTTAATGATATACGTAAAAACAAAAGCTAAAAGTTCACACCTGTAATGATAAACATACAACGCATACACATTTAGAGTTTACTGGGAGCAGAACAGTTCCAGTGTTGTCATGCGGCGCCGACAAGCAAAGTTTCACAGTTGCTCTGACAGTGAAAGCGAACGGCGAAAAACTCCCACTGAAAGTCATATTCAAAGGTGTTCGGCAGCTGAATATCAACACGCCACCAAGGATGCAAATTTCAGTGCACAAGAAAGGCTGGATGGACGAAGAAGGTATGTTTTATCTCCACACTGTTTATTCAGAGAAGGAAGGAGCGAGCGACAAACACGATTCTCGGAATTCGAAACTGTATTGATGTCATTGATATCATGTTACTGAGCACGTGCTGTTAAGCACGTATGCAAATTTTCATTTGTTTGCTTTTCTCTTGAAGTCGTTTAGTATTCTAAAGGTCTCTAAAGGCAGTATTCTTTTTTTAATTCATAGGAATAAAGGAGTGGATTAGACGCAATCTTCGCTACACTACAGACCAAAAAGTTCTTCTCAAATTGTGATCTTAAGATTTTGTTACGTGAAAATACTTGGCTATAAGACGCACCCCAATTTTAGCACTAACTTGCCACCCAAAGACAGATTTTTCTTGAAAAAACCGTGCGCCTTATAACCGAATAACTACGGTAAAATGACGTTTTCAAGAATAATACAATGAATGGCAAAAGAGGGTCAAAAACGAGATTCTACTAAGCACGCGCAATGAAGAGCTTTCCCATATAAAAGGAGTTTAGGAAATTTGTGTTACAAGGTTTGCTGAGCCTAAGAACTCGCAATATTTTAATGCGAATAAAATCAATAGTATTGAAACATGATTTTTATCAAAATCGAGAAGATAGCTTTGTAAGGAGCTCAAATGTTTGACTAGTTGTTGTCATAAGAAGCACAACGTTCAACAGACTATGTATTTCTACCACCAATTATTGTCTTCGGACCTTATTCTTTTCTGATGCCACCCTTCTTGGTGTATGAAGGTTTTACTTAAATTTATTTTAAGCTTACAATGGTGGTGAATAGGCTCTCACGTCGCCGTTACATGGGGATAAAAAAAAACACACACCAAAGCAACTGATAAAGGGCTGAAATATGAACTTTTAGAGAATAGTAGTTACAATGAACCGCAGAAGAGGGTCAAAAGATTCTACAAAACCACGCACAACGAAAAGACTTTCCCATCATTATGAGAGTGGTTAATGATAATGATTGTCAATGAAGATTTATCTAAAAATTCCCCACTCTTTAAAAAATAGAATCTAGTCGAAACGTGGTTATTTCGAAAACAGAGAAGACGCCTCTGTAAGGAGCTTGGACGTGCGAGTAGTTGTTGTCATAGGAGAAAGGACGTTCATAGGTGTTTTTAAGGATACAAATGAATGCACAATTTTTTTTTCATAGATACTGATATTTATTTTTTCGGGGATTGTTTTCTTGTCTTAATCAACTTTCATCTTCCTGCAACAACAACAACAATAACAAATCCGTTATCTACCTTTCTGCTGTATGAAAGTTAAAAAGACATTTTACGGATCGAAGTAAACAAGTAAAAGTGGAACCTCGATTTAATTTATGTATGAAATCGAGACTGCAGGAAATACTAAGGCTAGCTGGCCTGAAAATACACCTGCACTGCAGGTTAGGGATTTGTTTTAATTGAAATATTAAGGTGACATGCGAGATTTTGGAGATTTTTCAGCAATGTTCACAACAAGCCCTTTCCCCTCTGTTAAAAATTTAAGCTAAATCCCTGTATCATACCAAATAATGGGTAACATTTGCAAAAACAATTAAGTATTACCTTTGAATGTTAAATTGACATTGCTGCTTAAAGCAGAAGCCATGCTTTTCTGCTTTTAGTTGCAAGAACAAGCATAGATCCATTGGCAGCATTCCTCATCTCCTTCTTGATCCTCCTCCTCAGGTATTTTAAAGTGTACCACTTTTCTTTCTATATACACAAAGCGAGTGTCCTGTGAAACAAAAAAGGTGATCTTAACTTTTTTATAGGCAAATAATTTTGGAAATAAAAATGTCAGCTGCCATTTCACCAAGTTTCTAACATGACGGTCAGTGATCAGTCAAGTGCCAGATGATGGCATTTTAAAAATCAGTAGACCTGTTTACAAGTGACTACTAAAATCATGTGCTATGTGCTGACCAAAAAGGTTATATAGAACAAACCTCTCAACAGTCAGTGTTCTAGTCAATAGGAGCATGCAAGTATCTGATACAAAGGGGGTGCCGTAGAACATTGGTACCAAAGCTTAATGCACAGGCTCTCCCCTTTTCCCTTTCCTTTCCCCAAACAGAGAGCCCACTCACAGGCTTAAATAAAACAGTCATTTCCATTTTAATAACAGTGAAATCCAAACTTTGGATATAGTCACTTCAAATGTTCTTTGCACAGAAGAGGTCTCTGTAATTATTACACTTGTTCCTAATACATGTAGATCTACAGTAGAGCTGCTTTCTCTGGACCAGTGCACCAGTTGACTTCACTGCTTTGAACAATTTTGATTGTTTTCAATCCTGAGGGTGTAACTAAATCTAAGGAACTGTCTTCTGTTCAAAAGTGTGACTAAACCCTCATTTCTTGTGTACATGTAGTACACTGTATTTAGTTTTAGTTTTACCAGCTTTTCTGGACACAGGCCTCTCCAGAGGGAATGGGCATGAACAGGACTCAAAGGTCCTGTTGGTTTTTAAGACTCACTCCCATAACATTATTTCTATGGCAATTATTATGGCTTTTGGTTAACAAGTTATATTTATTTTTTTAGCTTTTGTTGTTCTTTAGAATAAACCTAGGCTTTCAGTTATTTACTTTAGTTAAACCCCAGCCTGACTCCTCCAAACACCTTAAAAAGAATACTCATCCAGAGTACTTTTCGTCTTAAATTAAAATCTCTCATGTATATTTTCGTGGCATTTTTGTCAAGGACAATTATGGCATTCTTCTCTAGGTTCAAAGCCAAATGATATAGTGCTTCAGATTCCTCAGTGAGGACACCCGAAACCTTAAAAAATAAAAACATTTTTGTTAAGCATTCAAATAATACATACAGGTGTAATGTGAATGTGTAGGCTACATACATGTACTATTATTACAGTACATGGAACCTTTCATATGTGTGAAAATCTTTGATCATGAATTGGTATATTTCAAAGAGCTACACAAAGACCAAGAATACTATTGACAGACAATATTCAGAGCCGGTGGAGCTTTAGTGTCAACTATTACTATTAGTAGTAAATATTTCTTATTTGAGGGAGGTGGTTATTAGAGGGTGGCTTTTATTCAAGGAAATAAGGTATTTTGTATCATCTTAAAATAGAACACTTTGATTTCCACTTTAAGGTTAAATCCAGAGAGCTAAACTTTAAAGGTTTCTATATTTGTATTTCAATGTATGGTTCTGCTTAGAAATACTTGCCTATAAACTTATGAATTACTCAACTCTTTCAGCAATTTTTAATCAGATCTTAAGTGAGATTTTTATAACCACAAATATTTCGTATTTTTGAATTCCCTTATACACCTTGTCTGTCTGCCCCCTCCCAATATTGTGGCATAAACTTTGCGAAATGGTGAATGCCGCTCTTCAACAGATATCTTTTTATCATAATGAAACGATTCTGTTGATTGAATTCTCATTAATGTATTGTCTTGTAAGTTAAATGACTAGAACGCCCAAGAGCAACGTGATCAAACCTTTTAAATTAAAAGTGAAAGAGAAATAGTGAAGAATTACAACTTCTAATCAAATCTTTGCTTATATTTTAGAATAAAATATTCTCGAAACTGAGAATTGTTTGATCTGACCTGCTTTAAAATCGAACTGATTCAGTGCATGAAACTTTTTGTTTCGTATTCTTATCTCACCTATTGTATGCAGTATGTGTGGAAATATCCATTATGAATCTATGTTTTTTAAAGAGCTACACAAACGAGGACTATTGACCGACCACGATACACACAGAGCGGGGGCAGCTGTAGTGCGAACTGTTGATAGATAAAGTATGAAGGAGTGCTGCCATTATTTTTATTTGTTATGGTCTACAGTTGAAGGTTGGTCTTTGATTTCCGTTAACGGAAATCGACATATGTCATGGTAGCTTGCCCTCGATCATAGAAAAAAAGAACATGCTCCCTTTTCAATGATGATCAACTCAGTAGTATGATAAATATGTTAGCTTCCTCGTGAATTCAAAGCTTTTTTCATTCCAGAAAATCTGAGGAAGTAAGGTTATGTTGAACTAGAAATCATATGAGCTTACCCCTAATACGTGAAAGTGGTGCTATAACACAAAACAAACAGAAAGGTCTTACCAACTCTTCATCCACATTGCTGCTTGATGAAGAAACACCTTCTTCGCTCTTTTTTGTGTTCCTCCCTCCGTTATCCCCATAATCTCGAAAATCTCTCTTTGCTGGAGAACGTTTTGGCATAGTACAACAGCACCAACAAAGCGACGGTTGACAACTGACAAACTATTGACCAACCGCCAAACGACCCAGCAAGCTACGTCATGTAAGGTCACCTATTGACCAATAATAATGCAGGCTTGAGTATTTGACGGTCATTTCTTGGTCCTCTATTACAATTTTCCCCGTGGTAAAGTACCCCTTTTTTGAACGCTTTTAGAGCTCCATAAGTTGGCGAACAGGATGTTTGCAAAGCGACGCATAGGCAAACCGACTGTAAACTCACAGTACAAGGTGTTTCAGTTAATAGCACTGGCAGACTTAATAGCAGTTGTTAAATATGGCTTCGAATGCCAAGAAGAAAAAACATGATTCCGTTAGTCTAAAAACTTGTAAAAGATGGTCGTTCAGTCAAGATTTCTCTGTCGAAACTGATGATGAAAACAAAATCTGTTTGTAAAATGCAAGATCTGTCGTGAACATTTCGAGTGAGCATACTTTTTAGTTGGATTCCATGATGATTTAAAAATAACTTTGGATTTTTCTTCCCTTTTCAATAGCTATTTTCTTTGGATATTTTCCCTCTGATTCATCTTTTTATTAGACAGCTTGTAACTGACAAGCTAGCAATGTTTTTTTAAACACATCCCAATTTGTGGCTGCGGTTGCACGGACATTTTTTCCAACTAATTAAATTCAATGCTAGTTCAGCTGGCTATTCTACTTTCTTAGTCGAGTTTTAACCATTTTATGAAAAACACACCTTCTTAACTACCTTGCCATTCCTCTCCGGGTAATTTAATGCAGCTAGAGGTTATCAATCAATCGATCATCTCTGCCTACAGCACCTGTACGTGAGAATTTTCTAATTTTAGGCTTTACATTGCATGCAAGAACTTTGGTTTTGATATTTAACTCTTTTTTGCCTTCTCTGACTGAGTTGAGCTTTCCTATTTTAACGGAATTGAGTCTAGAGGTGCGCCAAGTCAATCTCTTTTTTTCTAAGTGTAACCATAGCCTTTGAATGAAGTAAACTAAAACTGAAATTGGAAATCACGGCCGGTGTTTGTGAACATTTACAGGCAAGACGTCCAAACATTAAGGCAAAATTTCAAGAACATGAGTGATTTAACTGGTCAAAACTTTTCTTGAGTGTGGTGACTCCTAAAGAAGCCGTTGTTAAAATGACAAATCATGGGCAATTTATCACTTTGTCCTCCAGTTCGTCTAACTGTTGAAGAAGGTCTTCGGTTCTTTCCACCGCTGAAAGATAATTCTCAATCACAGTAGATAAACCCCCGTCTGGAAGAGCTGCAATTGTCTCGTACAGCGTACCCTCTGTTTCAGCAAGCTCTTCCAGGTCAAGGCGTTCATCATTGATGTAATTGAGAATTTCAAGCTTTTGATCCATGGGGGACTAAAATGGCATTTCTAGAAATAAAAGTTTCCCACTCGTAGTAACCGCTGTATGCCGTGTATTGAGGGTGAGTCGAAATTGACATACGGGGTGTTACGGAAATTTAACGTGGCAAGGAACATTTTAAAGCCCTGTTTTTAAAGAAATGAACACTGACTTCAAACTGTGCAATTATATCCGATTTGATCTGATTTTTGAGTGTAAAACAGAAAAGAGATGTTTTTTAGTATTCTCCTTTTACAATATTGTAAAAAAGTGACAAATTACTGCACTTCTTTTTACAGCAAAATTCGTCAGGAGGCCATTGGTAGAGGGATAAGTGGCCTTCCATTAGATGGAATACTGAAATACTTAGCTGACATCGCCTACGTGCATAAGGGGAATGTGGAGAAGCATATTCGAAGTGGATCTCTCCAACAGTGGGCCAAAGACAAATTCTGCCATAAGGATTCAAGTGGTGCTCAAAGCCAAGCCAAACCAAAAAGTCAGACTACTTTGACTCAATGCGTTACAGAATCCGCAAAGAGGAATTACACCCGCCTTTTCAACACAGTGTTTTCACTGGTTATGGCAGAAAAGCCATTTGCAGATTTCCCATTTGCGATTAAGATGCAAAAAAGAGAAATGGCTTGGAATTTTTGCCAGGCAATGATCATGAACATTCTGGTTCCATATTTGTCCACTTGTTGGCAGAAGCTTTGAGATCTGATATCAAATCAATCCTGTTATTATCAAATTTTTTCGCTGGTGAGATGGATGGTTCTGAGGCCTGAAAAACAGGGGATTAGAAAGAACTTATATATTGCAAATTTGTGATTCGTGGGCAGCCTTACTTTTCTTTACTCTACTTTACTTTACTTTGATAGTTTGCCAATACAAAATACACACTTAGTATTGACCGGAAAGCCCTAAACAGGAAACAACTACCCTACTGAAGGGCTACGTAAATTCACAATAAATAAGAAAAAAAACAGCTAAAAGAAAAAATCATAAATACCTAGAGAAGTGGCAATCATGTACAATATTAAAGTAGAATATAATTAAAACTAGTAGGAACAATAAATTAAGAGAACGTAGAAATATCCTTCAAATCGTGTAGAGATTAAATTTTTCTTAAATGTAGAGGCAGAGAGTTCCATATCTTTACTATTCTAAATAAGTAAAAAAAATTTAAAACATTAGTTCTTGCATATGTAATTTTAAACTGGTAATCAGTATGTCTGAGGTTATATTTCCACGTGGAACTGTCAGCAGACACAAGGAAATAAGACAGATCCAAATCATATAGGCTCATTATGCATTAAAAAAGGAAAACTAAGTCCATAAAGAGCCTCCTTGAGGCCAAGGAAAGAAGATTCAGATCCTGAAGTCTCTCTCAACAAGGCCTGTCCTTTATGATCAGTTTAGTGGCTCTTCGCTGAACTCTAAAGGTCATCCAGTTACTATATCCGTCTCTAGGTATTTGAGCACTTCTACGGAGTCACTCATGCTCGCTCATTAGCACCCCTTACGATTGACTTAATGTTCAATGAACTGGATACAGTGCCATTTTTTGAGTTTTTACAAGACAATCCTACTCCATCTGAAGCATCAGTCAAGTCTTTGAACAAGCCCTCTCCACCCACTGGATCACTTGTGTCTTCTACTGCACTAGGATCCATGAAAGAATCTCCATTTTCACAATCGAATTGGCCATCAAGGTAGTTGTCACAGAACGAGTCATGATTTTCAAGCCAGTCAAGTCATCTGTGGCCACAACGCTGTGGATCTGTCTACCTCCTTTGATTTGCTTGAATTGTCTTTGTCTGTTTCGACAATGCTCCTCCATGTACAATAAGGTTCTCCGCTCAAGCCCCACGCTCAGTGACGGAAGTTGGCTCAGTCAAGTTTTGTTTCATGTAATTGTAGAGGCCATGTGCATTCTAAATAACAATGTGGCGCCTAATCGCTGCCACTTCTGCTTTTTGCTTTAAATTAGCACCTGCTCCGTCCTGAGGTCCTTTTTCATGAGACGTTTTGAAGTAGTTTCTCACCGTCAAAAATCCGAAATCAGCTACTGAAAAGCTGAGATTATCCATACAGTTGCAACTCTTATATTGAGCTGCGCACCGGTCTGTCCATTCTTGCATAACCATTAACCGGCACTCTATTTAGCATAAATAATCAGCTACGGCACCCTGGGAAATGACAAACAAATGTTCAGGTGCAGTTTCTTGACGGTCAATACCAATACTCTTCTGCCCGTTTTCTTCCTGTAGTTTGACATTGTAAAATGTCATGTAGATTGGTGGTGGTGCCAGAGAAAGTAGAGGGATTGGATTTGATCCAGGTACCAACTGCAGTAATAGACCTTTTTACCAATACGGTGGCCATATTGAATTAATTCGATTTAAGGAGTATTATAGGATGCCCAGGGGGCATGAGCGCATTTCGTTTGTATGTTCGAACGCTTTTCGGGACATTTTTTCTGAAAATTTTTATTAGAATAAGATTGTAATGGGAAAAAAGATCCTTGTGCTGTGTTTGGATGTAACAATGATCGCCTTTTTCTAGTTTAGTATTAGAAATACGGTCTTTAACTGTATATTTTTCGGGAAAAAAGCGATCATTATTACATCCAAACACGGCACCAGGATCTTTTTTCCCATTATAATCTTATTCTAAGAAAACTTTAACAAAAAATGTCCCGAGAAGTGCTCGAAAATACAAACGAAATGTGCTCCTGCCCCCTGGGCATCCTATAATACTCCTTAAATCGAATTAATTCAATATGGCCGCTGTATCGGTAAAAAGGTCTATTTTTTCGGAATAACCGTGAACACCTGTGACCAGGTGGTAGGCTATCAACATTTGTCTTTATTTTTTCTTGTTGCCATTTTGCTCGAAAATGGTACTGGGAACGATTCAAAGAGAGTTTTGAAGTAAGGAAACATCTCCCCTGTTTTCGATGTCTTAGTCACGAGCGTGAGATGCCTCTCTTCTTCTCCTTCATTTGAAATAGGTATGTATTCAAACCACTCCCATTTCACCTTGAGCACTCACTGACTTATGTCTTCCTCCTGTGACATTAGCTTCAATTTCCTTCCTCTACGGTATATATATGCAAGGTGGTAATATGGGTTATCTCCTTTGAAAAGGGAGATAGCAAAATACACTACAAGCTTAACAATTTCCAGTCCCTCATTGTCCTGTGTTGTAATTTTTCCTATCTTTCAGGTACCGGCACCAAGTATCTGAGCGTACATTTTGCCCGGTTTCTTTTTCATTGCCCAAATTATTCTTAATAGCTCTGTAATAGCACTACTGCATATTGTTTGTCATGTTCTCAGTCAACCGCTCAGTGCCTCCCCACCCTTTCCCATCTGAAAGAGGTGCTTCTTTCTTTTTCAACTCCTGTAGTGAGCTGCCCATTCTCTTTGCAACATAATTTTTGACAGTTTTTGATCGCGTTTTGAATACAAACAAAGCGGTTGGTATAGTAATGAGCAGATTTACTTGACCTATCCAAAATAAGCTAAAAAAGTGAGTTATGCCCGAAAATATTAAGGAAAAATGTTACAAAATTTAGTTCTACAGGCATTCAGGTGCACAAGGGGGCAGTATTTGTGAAATTACTTTTCAGTCGAAAAATGACCATTTTTTCATGTATTTGCCACCTTAATAGACGAATTATCACATGCCATAATTGATAAATCCATTTGCGGATTTGACTGTTGTAACGCATTTTTAAATTTCATTCTAGTTTCATCTGTCTTGGAGTTACTTCTAGTAACAGCATAGTACCGTAGACATTTAACTCCTTGTCTGCCTTTGGTTTCATTGAGTTTAATTTTTTGAAACAGCAACTTCCATAATCTTTTGAGCAGTGATTTTGTCACCACAACCTTTTTATTGCCATTTTTGTCATAAAAAGGGCAACATTTGGCTGTTCATCAGCATCTTTGCATAAATCACCCGTGCTTCTACTGTCAAATAAACTGAACTTGCAAGTTTTGAACATCGATGCAAGCTCATTGATACGGTACCCCACTTAGGCAGCTTTGTTTAACCAGTTGGCATGGACGACTTGGCCTAAAACAATGCAAAAAGCAAAACGAAGAACAGGGAGAGTTTCCTCTTCCTAAACCTGTGGTAGCACTTTGAAGTACTGTTGATCACCATTTGCTTCAATTTCCTTTAAATATTGGTCATTGAGAAACGTTTTTGCTTTTCTCAAGTTTTTCACATGGTGTGGTGCTCCACATTTACTACTTGTTTCCCCGAATCTGCTACCTGTATGTTCATTTGTGTTCTTGTGAAGCAAGGCATCCCTTCCAGTGATTTCCAGCAGCCATCACCAGGTTATTTCCTACTTGTGGTTGGAGTGGCGTCACTTGGAAGATTCAACAGCCAGAAATTCAGGGTGCTTTTCCTTCAGCTTACAAAAGTTCACAGCATGGCAAGGGACTTCATTGCAGTTTGCTCTGTTGTGCCCAGATGTATGACATATTGCACATACCTTGCCGCGCCACTCGCGAGCCTTTGGTTAATCATCAAGCACTTTCTGTTTCCCTTGCATAGGACTTTTAGCACTTTGTACTCTTACCTTTAGTAGTTTAAGGTTTTCTGACAGTTCTATAGCTCTTCGATCCAAAGGGCTATGAAATGTTTGTGGGATTGGATTGATCGGACCAGTGCTGCTGGTGGCCGCCTCAGGTAAGTCGACTGGGACGTTGCTCTCATAAGTTCTTCAGTAGTGCTTGCACTTGGTAGAACATTCAGTCGTTTTGGCTCACGTTTTGTGGATTGTCCATTATTTTCCGCTTTAATCTTATTAAGCTCGGCCTCCAATATACATCTTTCTGCCAGTAATAGCTTAGTAGGAGATGGAAAGAATGAGTCCAAATCCTCTGTTTGCACGTAAGCTAGCGATCTTCTTGAGCGGAATCCCCGTGTTTCAAACTCAGGCAAAAGCCATTCTAATTTCATACTTGGGGAAAGTGACTTCAACCACAAAAACACCCCTGTAAGCGTCTTATCTGTCATGGCGAGCGAAATGACTTGACGGGATTAGATCATAAAGTTAATTAATGCAACAGTCACATTATGAACCAGAACTGTGATTGGATGATACATATAAAGCAGGAAAAAAGTGTTGGTGTTCATGGTTCGAGTGTCCGCACTGTAAGACAAGCAATCTTTATTTAAAAATATCATCCTCTTTCATAAAAGTAAGCTTATGTTTTCTCTTCACCTTTTTCAAAACATATTAGGAAAATCCCAAAAGATCGGGGATTTTACTTTCTGCCGACCATCCCAGATTTTGCCGATATATTGGATAAGCGCCAGAAGTCTGTCCCAAGATTCTCGCAATTATGAATTTGGTGGGATTTGGAAAGTGCACCAAGAATTGAAACTTACTCACAAATGTAACAGCGTTACAGCAACATTGATGCACACAAGCTTATACTGTGTCGTTCTAAATACATCTGTGTTCTTGAACTCGTCAATGCAGTTTTTCCATTCTTGAAAAACAGAAGCCAACTAAACGAAGAGCGAAGAGGTTTTGGATCAGATAATATTTGAAAAAAGGAGAGAAATATGGTCAGTTCCACACACTGTTTTCCGAGTTGCACCTATCTTTGCTTACACTTGGATTCTTCTAAATCAAGTTACTCTGAAATCTTTCGCCAGCCGTTGTTCTTTATGTTCCGATCTTTAAAATCTGCACAGGCACTGTTGTAAATAACGGGAAATTCTGTTATAATATCCATAAACGCCATATCACTCTTCTTTGCCTCTTGGGCAAGAGACTCGAGATAGCTTTCACTTGTGTTTTTGTGAGACGCCATGTTTATTTGTGAAAGGGGGACTTGAGCCATCAATTTAGGGGATTGTTTAGATTTGTCCCTTCCATCCCAGACAATCAGGGATATCTACGATTTAGCGTTTTCATTGGTCAGCAAAATCTGGGACAGCCAGGAAACACTAAAAGTCCCCCATCGTTTGGGATTTTACTGACTTATGAAAACCAGGCTTAAGTCTTCTAGGATTTTTTCTTCATCCACGTCTTCTGTCTCTTGTCCTTTCCTCCTTGCGGATGCTAAATTAGTGAAACAACTCTTTATCGGGACTTTTGAAAGCCACTCCTCTCTAGAGAAGCGATGGTTGTTATCTTCATCTCTGGCATTTGTCGTATCTGCGGATACTTGACTGGGATGTGTCTTTAAGGCAGTCTTTTCACCAAGTTAAAACTTTGCTTTCAATTATGTGGTAACCTCAGCAGTGAAACATGTTGCCACGTGTGGTTTTGAAGTAGTCCTTCCTTGGCTCAGATTTGAAGGTGTCCCTTCCGCCACTTCAGTTGGGCATCTTTTGCTGATGACTTTAAAGGTATTTGCTTCTACTGGATTGACTGTCGCAAAATGCTGAGCCCAATCTCTCCTCAACTGGTCATAAATACTTTCTGTCATGGGACTATTTTCGTGATTTCCAATTTCAAGGTGCATTTCAAGCTCACTTAACGTCCTTATTACTTTCAAGCATCCAGGTTCTGGTTCATAGCCCAGTCTGTCACTATCAATGGTGAGTTATGGCTAAGGTTGTTGATGGCATCATGCTTTGCCTTCACCTGGTTTACCGACGCAAAACATGAACTTTCCACTGAAGAATGTAAGTTTTAACTTGACTTCAAGGTCATACAACGGATCTTCTTGATATTCTCTGTTGCATGTAGATGATGAGGATTCAAGAATCTCTAGCTTCACATGGTTCATTATGTCGTTCAGGTCTTCAGTCACATCAAACAAGTCACACATCAAGCTATGCTTATGATCACAATCCTCTAAAATCACCCTCCACTGGGTCACATAAAAAAAACTTTCGGCAGTGGCCTTTGTAAGGAGTGTACTCTGTAGTCTGTGTTAAGATACCGTTTTCCATCCTTTAGCCTCTGTTTTGCAGCAACGCACCACTCCCTGTCACTCCCTTTCTCTTTAAGACCATTGCACCACTGACGGCAGTATTATCTAGCCCCTGTAACTGGCTGTTGAGGAATGCCTAAGCAACGCAATCACATGATGAGATCGTGTTTCAACTAACTTATTGTCTATTGTTACATCCTTTCTCTTTTCTAAAAAAAGAACTATACCTAAATGGGTCTGTCTAGTTGACAAAGCCTATTCTATAATGAATTGATCTTGTAAAAAAAAATCAAATGTTTCTTGTTACTGAGCAAAATACTAATGAAAAAAAAATCAAATAATCAAATCTATGACTGTCCACTTTCCTCGATCATTTGCTTTCAAACAAAGTCCTTGAGGTGGCTAGGGCGTTTGACTTGTCTGCCCGATCTGGTCGTTATACACGGTGATTGGGCAGAGCTGTTGCTGATTGGATCCAAAGGCAGAGGATCATCTCTAGATGTTTGGGCAGGAGAACTACAGGCTGTAGGCTCGGCTGGTGTAATAGCTTTGTTGGCGCTTTTGTGTTGCATTGGAACAGAGAATGCTCCATTTGCTAGAGAAGAGGACTGCTGGGGGCAAAACTGCTCTGTAGACTTTCTTAGATGAACCCGATTTCTGCGAAACGTTTTTCCATCTTCGGTAATGACTTCATAAGACCGCGTGCCGACTTGGGACCTGACTGAGGCCTTGAGTAATTCCTGATCTTAAGTCTTGTTCGATCCATGATACGTTCTGACTGTATCACCGGGATTAAGCCTTGCAAGTGTCCGAGCTCCTCGGTTGTAGTGCTTTGCCTGACGTTCTTTGTTATACAGGAGCTTCTGATACAGATCTTCAGTTATCTGTGGACGTAACAGGTTGGCAGTTGTTGTAACAAGGTCTTCATTCTAGGGCTCATAAGCCTTTTCGCAGGACTGGTATCCAAGCCTTGTGTTGGGGTGTTTCTGTAGGCAAGTAACGCAAGATAGACATCTGCCTTCTTTGCTTTTTTTAACAATTGCTTGGCTGCTGGGACTGCATTCTCTGCTTTACCATTGCTCTTAGGGTAATGAGATGTTGTGTTTAGCTGAAACTGCCAGGTTTTGCTGAAGCACTGAAACTCCTGGGCAGCAAATTGTGGGCCATTATCTGAGACAACCATGTTGGGGATGCCGTACTGAGCAAAGTGCATCTTCATTTTCTTGATAACATAGCTCGACAAGGTTGATTGTAAGGGTTCTACCTCCCAGAACCGCGAGAAGTAGTCAACAATGACCAGGTATTGCTGACCATTGAGATGGAACAGATCTACCGCTACCTTGGCCCATGGTCGTGATGGTACATCGTGGGGCTGTAGTGGTTCTTTCTGCTGCATTGAATCTGTGGACGGACACACGTCACACTGCTGTACATAATCTTTGACCTCACTGCTCATTCTTGGCCAGTACAGACACTCTCTGGCTCGCTGCTGACAACCGTCAATACCAAGGTGTGAGGTATGAATGCGCTGTAGCATGTCGCTGCGGAGAGACTTAGGTGTTACCACTCTTTCGCCTTGAAAAATCACACCATTCTGAACGGCTAGTTCATTGCGCACATTGTAATATGGGACTGCTGAATTAGGGACTTGAGATTTATCTTCAGGCCATCCGGTCAAGATAACTTTGATAAGTTCTTGCAGTTCATGATCTTCTTCCATGTGTTTGCGAATGTCATCCACTCGGGCTGTTGATACTGGGAGATCTTGTGCCATATTTACAGCCTCAACTTCTTTCTGAACTGATGTCAGGTTTACTTCTGGTAGATAGGCCCGGCTCAAAGTGTCTGCCAACTCCATCTGGCTGCCTCTCCAATATAGCAGGTTAACATCATACCCCAACAATCTCAATAGTAGGTGTTGAAGACGCTTAGGGGCCTTGTACACTGGCTTCTTTACAATAACCTCTATGGGCTTGTGATCTTATTGGACAGTGACTGGGCGGCCATATGTGTACTGGTGAAACTTCTCGAGCCCAAAAACCACTGGCAATAACTCTTTCTCAATTTGCGCATACCTTGTCTCGGCATCGGACAAGGCTCTGCTGGCAAATGCTATGGGCTGTCCATTCTGAGTTAGGACTGCTCCTAAATCTGTATCGGACGCATCTCTCTGAAGTGTAAGCTCTTCCTTAGGCTCAGAGTACTTTAGGACTGGTGCTTCTGTTACCAGCTGCTTCAGTTTGTTAAAAGCTTGTTCTTGATGTTCTGTCCAGTGCCACTCAACATCTTTCATAGTGAGGCGTCGAAGAAGTTCACAGACTTCACTCAGTCTTGGCATGAATTTACTCAGGTAATTCACGAAGCCAATGAATCTCCTCACTCCGGCTACGTCTTTGGGCTTGGGCATTTCAATAATAGCTTTCACTTTTTCAGGGTCTGGCTTCAGTCCTTGGCTTGTCAGCAGGTGTCCATTGTAGGGGACCTGATCCAGGCGGAGCTTCATCTTGTCTTTGTTGAGCTTTACGTTTAGCTCTCTACAATGCATCATTAGCTTGTGGAGCTTTGCATCATGATCTCTGCTTGCTTCTTCGTAAGTATCACCTTCTCCATACAATAGGATGTCATCATGTATAGTCAAGACACCTGGGAGTCCTTCTAGCACTTGATGCTGTCTCCTTCGGAATTCTTCAGGTGCTGGAGTAAGACCAAAGGGCATTCTCAACCACCGATAGCGTCCAAAGGGGGTGTTGAAGCATGTGAGCTTTGAACTTTCCTCATCTAACTCAACGTGCCAAAACCCATTTTTACATCAAACACACTTAACACTTTGGCTCGGCTAAGTTCTGGTAAGATGTCATCGATTGTAGGCATGGGGTAACGACTGCGCTACAACACTTTGTTTAGATCCTTTGGATCCAGGCAGACTATAATGTTACCATTTGACTCCTTAACGATGACCATACTTGACACCCAGGGCATTGGTTCTGGTACAGGGGTTAGAATTTGAAGAGACTCTAGTCGGTCTAGTTCTTCCTCGAGTGCTGTTTTAAGAGCTAGTGGCACTTTTCTTGGTGGGTGGACCACTAGTTTAGCACTAGGATCTATTTGGAGGTGATATGGCTAGCTTAGCTTTCCAGTGCCTTGAAATACATCTGGAAACTGATCGGCAAGCTTCTCTTTTGTCAAAGGCTCTTTATGGGGACTAGCCATTAGGGAAAGGATGTTTTCAAACCGCACTTGTATCAGATCCGTTTGCTGGATTGTTTCACTTCCAAGCATGGGTGTGCACTGCTTTTTAAGAACCATAAATTCTGTGCAATATGACTTGTCAGTCTTGCAGTTATGCAGCTCCAACGTACATCGACCTAATGGTTTTAGCGTTGTCTGATTATACATTGATAGCATTCGTTTAGTTTGCTCAAGTTTCACCGGACCCAAACAGTTATTGAGTGTTTCTTCTGAGGTTACATTGCATGATGCACCACTGTCAAGTTGAAAACGAACTGGTTTCTTTCCGACATCAATTGTTGCATACAGGCGTTTCGGAAATTTACTTGCCACAATTGAGTTTACTTCCGAAGCGGGCTCCAAATCAACTGTTAAAATGTCATCATAGTCTGAAAGATCTTCATCATTGTCATCAACATATTTAAGGTGCGAAGTTGAACCCGTTTGTTTGGTTTTGCAAACAGAGGCATGATGATTGAGCTTGTGACAGATGGTGCATTCTTTGCCATATGCCGGACATTTTCTCCTTTCGTGTTTTGTTCCACAATAAGTGCTTTTTATCTTGCAATTTTTCTTTGGCTTACTTTCATGCTTTGGCTTTTGAACGGCATTTATTGATTCAGTAGCTTCAATAGCTTTATTTCGCTCCTTTGAGAGTTCGCTCACGCAACACGCATGTAAACATTTGTCAAGATTAAGGTCAACCACTTTAAGCAGCTCTTCGCATAGTGTCGAATTACGAATTCCAGAAATAATTCTGTTGCAAATTAGTGAATCGTGAAGTGTTCCAAAATTGCATGTTGCAGCCAATAACTTTAAATCCGTCACAAATTTCTCTATCGATTCGCCTTCTTCCTGAATTCTCGTAAAGAATTTATATCTCTACCGTTTCATTCTTTTTCAGATTGCAATGTTCCTCAAAAGCGTTCATAATATCTTGCAATGTTCATTCATCTCTGGCCTTCTCAAAGTGCAAGGTTTCATATATTTCTCGACCCTTGCTCCCAATAATGTAAAGGAATATCTTTACCTTTAGTTTCTCGTCCCGCCCTTCCATTACTAGGTCCATGTAAAGTTGGATTTCTTCGCTCCATGTCTTTCACATGTGCGAGAGATCAGTCAAGTCGAAATCCAATCCTCCAGGGGGCTTTAACTGTGTTATTCGTTCAGCTCATTGACCTCCAGACGTTTCTGTGGGCGGATCGGGCATTCTGACACCATGTAACAAGTAAGAGCACGACTTTGTAGTGATGTAAATAGACTAGTTTAATCGGGAGTTCTCTTAGACTAAGGTCACATTGATCTGGCTGTTGAGGAATGCCTAAGCAGCGTGATCACATGATGAGAAGGAAGGCCATTCCATTGACTTTTTCTTGGAACTCAACTTCACCCTGAATTTTTCCCTGTATCAGTCTTGGTTCTGCTCAGATATTTGCTTCAGCCAAGTCCAGGATCCCCACATATTTTTGTTGCAACTTTTACAGAGCGATCTACCTCAAAACGGAGTAATAGATTTCGCAGTTTATTGGATCACTTAATTATTCATTTATTTACGCATTTATTACTGATTTTCTTAGATAAATTTTGATTACCGGTTTGTAACCTCTGACGGCTAATGAAGAAAAAAAGCGAATTGTCTTGAAGGTTGTGCGGTATCATTAGTGCTA